GATGCCATTAACTCAGCTATCTTCGAAGAATTTGCGGGAAGAACAAACCTGCTGATGATTCCGTCTGATGGATGCAGTACTCATTTTCATGGACGATCTTCAAATGGCCAATCAAGCAGGGACACTGGTTCCTGTTAAGAGCAATTCGGTTTTAAAGCACTTCTTTCAACATGTGGAGAAGACTCGTTAAAACCGGTTCGGACTCACGAAAACGTGTGATCCTGCTTTGAAGTTATATAAGGGGTGTCCTGTAATGTTTACAGAGAACACGAATGTTCCGAATGGAGAAGCCAATGGATTCGGCTTTTTGTGAGAAAGGTGAATGTGAGGGATGGTTGCACCCCATGATTATTCAACTCGACAACGGCTGCAAGATTCGGCTTTTTTCTCAGGTCAAGTCAATCTATCCTTGTGGAACATGAAATGGAGACTATTATGCCACGTACTTTTTATGTAACGGAGCAAGACTACACTTTCAGACCAGATGGTTTTATGACGGAGAAGTTGTACACACAAGATGAAGGGTAAGCATGTCCCGATTATCAGCAATTCTGCGACAACTGACACAAATTACAGGGATATACTGCAGTGTGGTTATTGGTACATTCATGCGATACTGTCAAAACTGGCTTACGTGGTGTTATCAAGGGTGCGAACCATGAGTGGTTTGTTCTTATTGAAGAAGCTGGATTGGGATCCAAAGAACTTTGCCATGCCACAACGAATGAGAGACATGCTTGCAAGATTTAAGGATACTATTGGGCTTTCTGTCCTAGGAGAAGATCAATACGATGAAATGTTCCAGCGAGAAGACGGGTTCTTGTTATAAGTATAAACGGTAGGGATATAGGGTAAATTAATCTATATATAAAAACTTTTATTACTACAACTACCTTCTGAGATTCGCATTGCACCTCGTACGTCATTCAATGTCAGTCATTGAAAAAAAGATCAAGCGTCCAATCAAATCACAGGTGACCCCGAAAATTAGGACCAACTTTTAAAATGTAAGAACGCAAGGCGACTTTCATGTCTGTACATGCGTTGACTGTATCCGTCAATACAATACTAGTCGAATACGTAGACTTCTACAGGGCCTTCTAAGTAATGCGCGCCGGGTATAATTCAAACCTCTGCCCCCATCGGTACCATTACCCCTAAAGCAAATCGTCTCCAGGAGACGAAATTTCAACAAGCGTCATTCGCCCTTCGAACAAGATGCCTCCGGTGGCGCCAACTACGGAAACAGAAATACGGACTGGCCCTCCGGTGCAGATTCATTTGACGTTTCCAAACTCGTTTTGTCCAAACCAAATTTCGGAAGCGGTCATTTCTAAAAGAAGTGGTCATTTCGTGAATCCTGTGTTGAATTGACAGGTTCCCACAAAGAAAAGATTGAAGAAAATAAAATGAATTTTACCACCATGGCAACAGTGTTGACCAAATGGCCATTAGCTTTACCAATACATGGAGATAGCAAATCCTTTTCTAGAAGTAGCTCCCCAACACACTAACAGAGCCTCCCCTTGAAAAGGATTTGCTATCTCCAAGGTTTCCCATGGAGCCTCTATGAAAAATCAGGCTTGGATTCCATTTTGTTGTCATTCTGACATGGATTTCTCCATGGGAAGGGTCCTCCAGTCTTCACTCTCAGCACTCAATCTACACTGTAGAGCCTAGTAGAGGACTGTGAGGCTTTGCATGAAGACTGGAGCACCCATCCCAAAGGTTCAAAGGAGAATTGTGGCTCCAAGGTGGCAAAAATTGAGCAGATTTCATGTTTCCAGTCAGTCGACCAATCAATACAGTAGTAGCGAAGCTGCTGCTCATTTCCTTGTAAGTAGCACTAGAGCAGGAGCCTTGATGTGGGTCTGCCGGAAGAGCAACAGTCGTCGTCGTCGTCGTCGCCGCCGAAAGAATGGTCGGTCGATCGATCGTCGTCGTCGGAAGAAGACTGAATCGATCCGTCGAACGGAAGACGCTTGTTGCCATCGCTTGTTGTTCTAGTAGTAGTCGCTTGTTGTTGTTGCATTAACGGTAGAGGCGACATGGCTCCGATCGCTCCGTGGAAGAGGAGGCGTCATGGTCGCTCCGTGAGTCTGCCATCCACCGAATCGATCCGTCGGCCGTCGGCGGAACGACCGATTGCCGAACGGCTGCCGCTTAGCAAACAAGAGGAGCCTGTCATGGTGGAGACGTCTACAAGAGGAGTAGCCGCTGTAAAGAGGAGATAGTGTCATCTTGATAGAGTCAATAGAGAGTAAAGATAGAGGTATCGAAATAATGGGAGGATACGAGATACGAGTGGCTTGATCGATTCCGAGTGAGGTCAGTTGAGTTTAGGGTTGAGGCCACACAAGTCCTTTAAGTCTTTTCACGGAACGTTCCAGGAAGTTCCAGTTCGCATTCCAATGTCTCATCGGGAGCCGGCTTGCGTTTGTCTCGATAGTTTAGATTCAGCCTGTAGCAAAAAGGCATGACAGTTGATTGCACAACCCTCCCAGCTACTGACATGGCTCCCTAGCAGTTTTCCTAACTCCTTTCCCCGCCCTACTAGTTCCAGCCTCGGTCCTGGTTATACCTCCCCTGCTGGCCTGAGCCCAGCTAGTTAGCCTCAGCTTCCCGGTCAGTGACATCTCTATAGCATTTCTCCTGGTCAGCTCCTTCCCCAGCTCAATGCCCAATTTCATCCCCAATACTCCTCCTGCTGAGAGCCTCAGCTATGCAGTTAGCATTACTGCTAGAGCTACCAAGCAAACCTCTTAGCCAGCGGAGGAGTCGGGTCGGTATGAGGAGTGGAGTTGGGTTACATCTGGCCGGTACCGCGTAATGGTATAATTTACCTTTTACTGTATAATGAGTACAGGACTGTCTGACGGTTTTCACTCAGACTTTAAAACTCTAAGGGCATGTTTTAAGGGCATGTTTATTTAAGGGCATGTTTCAGAGTTAAGGGCATGTTTTTTAAGGGCATGTTCATTCGTGATAAGGGCATGTTCTATGGTGTTTCAATGAAGGCTTAAGGGCATGTTTCGAGGCATTAAGGGTATGTTTTAAGGGCATGTTTATATAAGAGCATGTTTAAGGGCATGTTGAAGATTTAAGGGCATGTTTAAGGGAATGTTTCAAACAGTGCTCAAGCGTGGAAATTTCAATTTTTGTTTTAGAGCCTTGAGTGAAAACCATCAGATGGTCCGGTACGGTATGGTTAGCCTGTAACCCTAGAACGAGGACCAACGATTGATTGAATGATGATATAAGGGGGTTTTAGAGTAGGGAAATTAGAGTGATCTGGGTATTAAGACCGACCGTTCAGCGGAATATTCTCTTCAGGTCTGTATATCGAATATAGCACATGTAAAGAGGGGAATCGATAGAACACATGTAGTTGAGTATGCCATAAATCTCGCAGCCTCATAGTGTACTTATTGGTGGAGTTACGGGCGGTTGAAGATATCCACCTAACTGACACGAATTCTTTTTCTCTGCAGATTAAGACCAATGACGTCAGTCGTGTCTCTAGTACTGAATCTACGTAGGATCCTACGTACACACCTCTATCGAGTGAAACTCCGTGCCGCACCTCTATCGAGTGTCGGTATCTTTCGCACCTCTATCGTCGCTCCCGTAGAGGTGCTTCGCTTCCGTAGAGGTGCTTCGCACATGCATAAAGCACCTCTATCGAAGCACCTCTATCGACACTCCTTCTTTTATCGTTCGTCTACCGACACTCGAAGCACCTCTATCGACACTCCTTCTTTTATCGTTCGTCTACCGACACTCGTTCCTCTCAAGATGGCCGTTTCCGACAGCACTGACGAAGGCATTGACGAAGAAGACGATGGCATTGACGAAGAAGACGATGGCATTGACGAAGAGGATTACGAAGAGGATTACGATCATGATAGGGACTTCCAGATCAAGTACGTTGACCATTACAAGCAGGCTAACGTTACGGACTTCTTCAAGCAGAAAGGGAGACGCGGCAGGCCCAAGAGATCGACTCTTGCGAGTGAGACCGTTCCTGTTAAGAAGAGAGGTGTTGGCCGTCCCAAAAGAAGGGTCTTGAGCTGTTCGAGCACATGTGCGAGAAGCGTACAATGTTTGATGCCAAGATGTCACCGTCAAAGCATCTAGATGTGTCCATGTCGGAGCAGAATCGAAAGAAGCTGTCCGGAGCAGTCGAGACGGTGGCGGCCAAGAGAAAGATTATTCGTAAGAATGTGGTGGCAACGAACAAGATGAAAGCTGCCAGGAGGAGACTGGATGGGAGTGGCAAGGTTAAGAATCACGCTGCCTTGGTCAATGATGAAAAGGCCTTGCTGACATTGAAAAACAAGCAGATACTCACCGATAGTTTGGCTCAGATCGACGAGCTACACAAGAAGCAAGCAGTGGAAAAGAAACGCCAAGCCACAGAAAGCCTCAACAGCTTGGCTCCAAAGGCAAAGGAGAAGCTCGGGCGAAAGCAGGTTGTTGCTTCCCTGACTAAGCCCGAGATCGTTTCCCTGTTGACAGTCTACTTTGGGTCCAAAGCGGACACCAAATTGGCGAAGGGAAGCCTGGTAATTGAATTGGAGAACAGGATTGAGTCCAAGCCTGATGTGCTACAGGTACAGTTGAAGCCTAAAGCAGCTCCAGTAGCTGCTTTGGCTACTGGAATGCCCTAGTTTCAGCCAGATCTTAAGCTATATAGCCATAATAATAATATAGTCTTAAGGTATCAGCCTAGAATATTACAATAGTCTTAATCTACTGCGGGTCTTAATGGGCAGATCACTCTAGCTTGATTGATTGATTGATTGACACACCAAACAACAAAATCCGCAACAGGCCAACTCCGTAGTTGGCGATTCACCCCCTGCCCTCCTCTGCATTTGTTGTCATTTACCTTCCCTGCTGCGACCTTACACGGCAACAAAACAAAGCAAACTCCGCACATTGCCCGATCTTACCTCTCTTTCTGACATTCAGTGCCTTTCCACTACAAGACAATCACAATGCTGCCTTCCCAGCATCAGCCGAGGGCCAAAACCAAGTCGATATCCCATTCCACGCATCCTCCAGATCCCATGAAGCAGAAATTGTCGGGTGTCAGCAGTTCTCGTGAAGATATCGGCCAAGACTTATCTGCTTCTCCGTTCACGTCGTTTGACGCTGCACTTTCCTCTTGCAAGGAGTCTTTACTACAGATGGTCCAAAACCGAGACTATGAACAGCTCAAACAAAATCTTCAGGCCATGGATTCTGTCAGGGAGCAAATCGAACAGCAACTAGCAGCCCAGCGTGCAGAGGCCTTTTCCACACTTTTGGAGCAGAAGGACCTCTGGATCACTGATATCCTTCCCCTTGTGGGGATGGGACAGTATGCCTTTGTTGGAGGGGTCAACAAACAGATGAAGGAGCTCTATGAGAAATTATGTTCTACTGTGAAGGATGCTCCCCTTGTCCGCCATCAGAACCATAAGAAAATTCCAGCAACCAGCAACCAGCACCGATACCGTTCATAGTGCTGCATTCTACAATGCTGACTGTGCCAAATACTGGTACAGTGACGACTCCAGCAACAAAACGCCCACCGATCACAACGTCTGCGCAGCAATTGCCAAATATGGGAGTATTCCAGTGATGCGGTGGGCCCACCAAAGAGGCTTTCGGTGGAATCACGATACATGCAGTGTAGCTGCTAGGCATGGCCATTTGGCGTTGCTGCAATGGGCCAGGGAAAATGGCTGCCCATGGAATGCAAATACCTGCAAAGGAGCTGCTCAGGGTGGTCATTTGGTGGTACTGAAGTGGGCTAGAGCAAATGGATGCACGTGGCATAATGGTGCATACTATGCTGCTGCTGCTGGAGGTGGACATCTGGAAACCTTGAAATGGATGCACCAGAATGGCTGCCAATGGTCTATTATGACATGTGCCGCTGCTGCTGGAGGTGGGCATCTGGAAACCCTGAAATGGCTTCGCCAGAATGGCTGTCCATGGGATACACACACATGCCAGTATGCTGCAGAAAGTGGGTACCTGGAAATACTGAAATGGGCCCGAGACAATGGATGTCCATGGGATGCAGACACATGCACTTATGCTGCAAAAGGTGGACACCTTGATACTTTGAAATGGGCCAGAGACAACGGGTGTCCATGGGATGCACGGACATGTTTAAGGGCAGCTGGAGGAGGTTATCTTGAGTTGTTGAAATGGGCTAGGGAAAACGGATGCCCCTGGGATGCGCGGACGTGTGCGTATGCTGCTGAGGGTGGGCATCTGGAACTCCTGCAATGGGCCAGAGAAAATGGTTGTCCTTGGGATAGTAGGACACTTGATAGGGCGCGACAAAACAAACGTTGGCGGGTTGTAATTGGGCTCAAGAGAATGGATGCCCTTCCGGTAGAATTGTTGACAACCTGTAGATTATAAGGACTGCATTTTGCGAATACTGACGAACTACCCACAAAAGTAGTTAGTTACTACATGTATCTAGCTAGGCTCTCGAGCTCGGATTGAAGAGGAGGAGGAGACAGTTTCGATTCTGATGATTAAGGAGGCTACTGGTGTGGACTCAGTATTCAGGTGTGATTATGACAAGCAGTGTACATTTACCCAATTTGATGTGATCGGTGATTATTGAATTTCGTTAGTTGCTCCATGGCGGTGCTGTTCAATCGCATATTTTGCTTGCCTGCCTACCTATCTGGCTAGCTAGCTGTGGTTATGGGTGTCATAGGTTTCACATAGTTTTTAAGTTTGCAAGAATGAATCTAATCAATCTACCTACAGGATAGACTTCTAGAGGTGAGGCCACTACGACCTATCCGAAAGCAATCACAAGCTAAATGTGGCGAAGATTCCGGGAACTGCTTTGCCTTCCCATCTTCTTTTGTATTGACTCCAGCATTTCTTTGGTTTGGATAACAACTGGGCTATCCGGAGGAAGCATGGTCTTTTGCAAGAGAAGCGCCTCCTGGGTGGTCTCCATTGCACCATTCAGGTTCTTCAACTTCTCGTACATCAGGTTTTGCTTGCGAAGCGTCTCACAGCATGCCTCCGAGAAGATATTGTAGTGGGACACTTGTGCCGCCTGCATTTCCTTGTAGCACTGGAAAAGTGAATCAATGGGTGAGTTACATCGAGCCACACTACCAAGACGGTCAAAGCACATCACCGCCAGGCATTAGTACTTACACTGAGCGCTGCGGTGTAGTCCCTGTTTTTGGAATAGCTAAAGGCAAGGTTGTCGAGGGTGGCAATGACCCGAGGATGATCGCTTCCCATGACACCTCGTTGGAGCTGTGGATGGTTGAGAGAAGAAAGCAAGGTTAGCTGGACTGTGATGTTCATGGAGCTCGACCAAACTCCACAGCCACGCATCAGAGCAACTCACGTCGAGGGCCTCATTGAAGGAAGAAATCGCTTGAGAATACCTTTTGCGCTTGTTCTCGATGCTTCCAATGTTGCAGAGGCAATCGGTCAATTGAGCCATGCAAGAGTCTGTAGCAACCAAAGGATTGAAGAAGGGACGTGTGAGACTTCACTTCAACTTCCTCGTGCAAGAACACGGTCGCTAAAGCTTACCTCTATCTGCGTCAGAGGACCAAACCGCACGGTAAATGTCTAAAGCATCGCGAAAGGTGGCCTCAGCAGCCAGCAGCTCTCCGGACTGAAAGTAAAGGTAGGCCATGTTGCAAAGAGTCTGAGCTCCGAGCTTGCTCTACAAACAAGAGAAAATGCGCATTGGTATTATGAGAACAATTGAAAAAGTTGCTTGCAAACAAGTAACACTTGAAATCAATCCTTACATTGGTTCCAGCCTTGTAACGAGCAATCCTAGTCGCCTCTCTCAAATCAGAAAGTGCTTCGTCGAACTTCTTCAAAGCCACCCGCGTGGAGCCCAGTTTGCTGAGAGAAGCAGCCACTTCAAGTGAATCAGACGAAAGCGTTTCTTTGCGAATTGCCACTGCTTCCGCAAACAGTTTCTCTGCCTTTTCATTGTTTCCCATTCGAAGATGTACTACGGCAACGTTGTGAATTGCGGCACCAACCGAAGGGTGCATGTGTCCAAATCGCTGCACTTGAGCTTCTCGAAGCGAGTCAAAAAAGGAAAGGCTCTTGGCGTACTCTCCAGCATTCAAACTCGCCTTGGCAGCTTCATGCAAGTCTCGGCCACTCATGCGAAGCTTGGAAGACACACTAATCATGGCTTCGCTGGCACCACCCACACTGGCCACATCCTGACTCATGACCTTGCGACTGGCCTTGCTTCTCCAAAAGAAACCTCCTGGCATGCATGTTTTCTTTGTTGGAGAAGAGCCGATGGTCCCACGGTTGAAGCGATCGGCGGAGGATGTGAGACCGATAGAATGATTGTCGTCATTCAGACTTCGATTCTCCATGAGCGAAAACTCTGGAGTGAAACTGGCCAGCGCTTCATCGTTGGATCCATCAAAGCTGCCGCTGCCATTGGGAGGACCAGTCCTACCGGCATTGAAGGACCCCACAACCTCAGTAGCAGTCGGGGTCGACGTGGTAAACATACTCGAACTCATCGTGACAGGGAAAGAGGCAACTGCAGTTTATGCATACAAGAACGGACGACTTTATGAAGGAGAATGGTGTGACTGTTTCAAGTAACCAAAGACTCAACAAAAGAGAGTGAGAAAGAGAGCTGTTTGCTTGACCTTGATTTTCAAAAATGTGAGACCCACGGAGAACATGAAGTATTGAGAAACATGACTGAATTAAGTCTGTCCTTCTGCCCCAACCTTACAAAATCATGCAGAGTGCGTTAATGTTTAGAGCTGACGGCCAGACGTATGTTTGTGTTTAGTGGTGTCAGTTGTTGAACCATTCAATACAGCAAGTCTCAATGAGTTAGTCAACGCCAACGACAACCGACCATGTGGCTGGCTCAACAATTTGAGGCGATCAGGGCGGAAAATGTGTCCGTGGAACCAATATTGTCAGAGATTGGAACGGGCCGACGAGACAGGACCAATGTTGTGCCATTCCGTGCCTAAATGGTCGGCGTCAACGAAACTAATACAGCTGGTGCCAACTCTCTAGCAAATTCTGCTGTAGAGTAACGTACCGTACCGGCACAGTTGGGTATTTGTTATTAGTGGACCATTTTTGGAGCTGTACTGCAGTACCGGTACGTGTAGCTTTCTCCTCGTATCTTCAGGTTGACAGGGGACATGCATACAACACTACTCGTAGCGACCACTGCGGCTTTTGCATATAGTAAAGTGGATGTGGACTCGACTCCAGGTTCCTCGCCTTGAATCAAGGTTGAACCCATGCTCCAGTACCGGGGTACCGGTACAGGTAAGGCCGAAACGAGGATGGAAGCAGGTGTGGGCCTTGCGTGCACCATGCCGTACCCTAAAAGTATTCAGGGCCTCCTGCAATCCAGCACGTTGATCTAGCTAGTCTGGTTGGCTGAACGTCTACAGAGCCAGGATTGCACTTTCACCATACTGTGGACTGTCAGGCAAAGAGCATATGCCAAGGTAGTCTAATAGCTACGGTGTATTCAAAGTTGAATGGAAGTGTTTACTAGTGGTAACTTTATACTTGTCACCACAGTTTGTATCTGTAATGTAGATCTAGTATCCCACCAAGTACAGAGTGGACTCTGCTTACTTTTAAACTATTCTCAAGACTACTGCAATGCGGGGCTCTCTTCCGTCTTGTAGAATGACAGTCTCATGGTCCGGATCTCCGATGTTTGAAAGATAGATCTCAACTCCTGTGCTTCGCCACAGTCAATGACGGCGTTGCACATGCTAAACAACCAAGCAGAATGACCCACAATAGCCAACTCATCTTCGGGTCTCTTCATAATAAAGTCCGTAAGAAACTCGTAGATTCGTTGCGTTTCATCTTTGGGCGATTCTCTCGCATCCGGTTGCCACATGACATCGTCATCATCTTGCAGCGTGGAAAAGTCGACATGGGGGAATTCTTGTGCTGCCTCGGTGCGGGTCCTTCGTTTGTTGCACTGAAGCAAACCGGTTTGTTCTCTAGCTCCCTCGTGGGCGATCCAGTCTACGGTATCCGCGTGATCTCCAAAACTCAGCATGGCCGTCTGAATAGCCCGTAGCAATGGGGATACAATCATCACTTGTGGTGACAGCATGGCTCCCTGTGTGCGACGCGCGGCACATTCTTGACGGCCCTTTTCTGTAAGTGGCGCATCCAGCATTTCTTCTCTCAAAAAGGGATTCATGGCAGGGTCCTTGTCATCCAAGTCAATGGGCCTTCCCAAAAAATCACGGTACATTTCGCCAATCAAGTTATGATAGCCTTTGAAAGACAACAAAAAGTGGAAGAAGAAGCAAGTAATGAGAATCATATTAGTGCTGCAATGCACAGAACGGCCATTCTTATACCCATGCATGCATGTATCAGAAGAATCTTCCAACGATCGCACGTACCTTGTCCATGCCGTTGGAAATGAATCAATTTGGTGCAAATATGACTTTCGTCCTCATCATTGCCCGTACGCATACTTTGTTCTGCCGATGAACCCACTGTTTGAGCTGTAATGCTAATAGGCCATGCCATGTCCAAACAACCCGCTTCGTCGAGCTTTTTGAGTTGCGTTCGTTCAAAGTTGCGCGCCATACTCTTGGCCGCCTCGGTCATGGTGGGTGCCGAAAAGGCCATCACTTTCTGAGAAACACAAACCATGGCGCACAAGATAAAGACTGATTTCATAATTAACTCCTTCGTCTTTTGCTGTTATTGTTGTTTGTGTGATGATAATGACAGAGATGGAGATTCGATTGTAGCATCTTGGTACTGTGATGATGTGATGTGGTAAGTTTGCAACGTTTTGTGAGCAACGCATCTCGCACCAGCAGCGCCACGCCACGCCACTACGTCCGAAATAGGGTCAAGGGTAATCCACCTGGATCTTTGGCGTTGTCGGATCTCGGATACGAGTACTAGCTAGCTAGTATCCAAGATGCCTTCCGACACTTTTCAACAACTTCTTCAACACTTCCCTCTTCCATTCAATGCTTCAGTACTAGTGCCTCTTCCGATAGTGACATTGCAAACACTCTCTGATTCTCGGTTTGAATTCATCATGGCTGAGCTAGGAATATCCACCTTATTGGTCTGTTTGCAATTGATCCTCTGCTTACTCAGCCTTGGCGTCGACGCCTTCCAGTCACCTCCAGACACATACACGGCACGGTCAATCTTGTACTCCACTGGCAATAGTCCCACGTCCATTGATGCCTGCCCGTTTTCCAAGAAATTTCCCAAATATCGAATCGATCTGTCACGGTCCAATGGGAACAAGAAGAATGAAAAACCGTCGTGGGTACCCTTTCTGGGCGACGTGCAAAAATCCATGGACAGGGGCAAGCTAGAGCAGCAATTTCCCCAAGCCGTGGACTGGATGGATCCAGAAGCTGCCGGTATCTCGGTCTTTACCAGACTCTGGAAAAGTGCTGTCAATCTTTGCGATGAAGCCGAATCTACCCAACGAATAATCATTGGAGTATCTGATGCACACCATTGTGGGATCGCTGAGGACTGGGTGGACATTTTGAATTGGATGCAAAATGAGGAAGCACTTGCCCCCTATCGGGAAATTTCCTTATTGGCGACAATTCACAAGGAAGGACAACTGGTGGCAGTGGAGATTACCCGCCAAGGTGGGCTATCATCGGCAATCACCAGCTCCGACGCTGCGTACGACCCCAAAACACTTAACAGGAGGACTCAGGCTTGGGTAAAGCGAATATTGGTAGATCAAGGAATTTGTCCATTTACAAAGAGCGTCAAAGTGAGTGGTCAGGGGCTGGGGGATCTTGGAATCCCCGTCGCCAAGATCCATTACTGCTCTTCCAACGCCAGCTGCCTTCAAATATGCCGCCTCATGGCAGACACGTGGGAAGAAATTGCTTTCATGCTAGAGATGGGACCCAGTGGCAAGGACGGAATCAGCAGCATTCTCTTGGCAGCCCCCGAGTACGACAATAACTTTGATCTTTGGTCGGGCCCAATCTTTGCCATGCTCGAGACTGGGGTTGTGGCGTGTCGGTTGCAAAAACAAGTGGGAGTGGTTTGCTTTCATCCCATGTATGCGACACCCGATGGGTCGTCGTTCCCTGGTTTTGGGCACATGCATTCGGTTCCTCGATTGAAAAAATGGCTGCAAGAGCAGGATCCATCGCTACTTTTGACGGATGAAGAAATTGCGGCGGGGGGTGCCTGGCAAAGACGGACGCCTCATGCGACCATCAATGTCCTAAGGGCGGACCAGTTGGAAGCCGCAGAAGGACGTCGTACCACGGGAGAGCTGTATAGCGAGAATATTCGAAAACTGGTCGGACCGGGAAGCTCACAAGCACCGATGACACGATTGAATGATCTCGTCAATTTCTGAGTTAGAAGCTCCCAAGGATAGCCATAGCACTGTCGTCGTGTTCCGCAACTTCCTTTGTATTGGTCTCTTTACCTATTTCGCCTTGATCAACCAGTAGCTTGGATCGCGACGATTGGCTCTTGCTCGACCGAATTGACGTGTCACCCTCTGATTTCGCGCGATTGAAGATATCTCATGGATAAATGAGCCGGATTTCTTGCTTCCGTTCAATTATATCACTGTTCGACGTGCTTTATCACTGTACCCTTGGGTGTCCGTAGTTCCGGCCGGAAACTTTGAGGAGGATCGACAATGGGATTGCTCAGTCTTGCTTTGATGACGTTTCGTCTGTTAAAGGTGTTTCGATGGCGCTTATAGTTGGCTATAGCAATTCTGCGCATCTCTTCTTCTGTTGCAGGTGTTACTCATTGCTTTGCTTTGATAGTCTCTTGGTATAAACTTGTATCAATCTCGAGTGGTGTTGACTCGAACTCGAGTTGAGACTTTTGCTTTTCAGTGTTGTGCTAGTAATACTGCAGCTTATTGTGGGAGTAATTTTGGATTTAGATTAAGTGAAAAGCAAAAGTGAGGATTTTTGGTGTGGATGGACATTAAAGCGTGCATTAGCAATTCTTGCTGATTGAATTGACTATAAGAGAACCCCCGTAAACTTTTAGACCTAAAACTCCCTTGTTCCTTGCATGATGAATTTGCATGCGAACCGGACTAGATGATTAATACACGAGTCAATAGTAAAGAGGTGTCAGGTATGTTTCCTCCAACAGCCGGGGACGCTCACGCCGCCGACATACCGAGCCAAAATTGTGGGAGGCCATGCATGCGCCGAAGTCCAAAACGGATAGTAACGTACTGGAAATCTGCAACCGCCTGAAAAGCTATTTCCTTATTTGTTACTCACAATTGTACTATTCCAAAGCCTCAAATAGTAATTTCAGTATTCATATTCCCTTATCGGTTGTCTCCCGCTTCCTTGACCAATGACACGAAATTCCAACCACGCTGAGGACTCGCGTAGATGTACGGCGTCTCAGGCTTCCAGGGTTGTCTCCAGCGTCCTCGGCTACCGGTTGAGCTACCAACTCTGAGAACCCAAGGAAGCCGGAGGCTGATCCATCAACTGTGCAAAAAGAGATTTGATTGGTCAAATCATTTACCGTGTTCAACTGGACACACAAGTCTCCATAGCCAGCACAGTACGGGCACAGTGGTATCAGTACCCATGGTCCAGAGTACATGTGTCCAACAGAACACACAATATAAATCCCCTATCCTTAAAAAGGAAAATATCCCTTATGTCTTTGGCAAAACTCACACGTGTTTATATGGACACACTAGCGAGTCTTCATAGCCAGCCAGAACTGGTACACTATGTCTGAAACTACTGTGTCCACGAACACACAAAGATTAATCCCTATCCTAACGAGCGACGAAAACAGCTGCAACAAACAACACACACACACATCCACACATACAGGAGATAAAAGTGTGAAAGACCCCTCAGTTCCGTTGAGGGCAAAGAGGCGTCTTTTTGACTATGATAGCTAGCTAACCAGCTGGCTACCGGTGATTTTAGACTCCTGCGTATTGTACGCGATGAAAATGAACTTGAGTTTCATGACAGCATCCACAACTTTAGCTAACTAGCAGTTGATTCTTAGTTACTGTAGTTAGCTATCTCAACGCCCTCTCGTCCTGCAAATCCTCCATGAGTTTGTCAGAACCAATACTCTCGCGTGGGACAAATTGTCTGAACTCGAGGCTCGATTGTTCATCTGGAAAGACATCCACCATTGCCGCTCGTCCGCCAGTAGCTAAAGACACATCCATTACCGCGATAAGTAGCAGGCTGATCAGTGCTCTTGTTAGCGCGCTCCAGAAGCTGCCTTCAAATATGCCGCCTCATGGCAGACACGTGGGAAGAAATTGCTTTCATGCTAGAGATGGGACCCAGTGGCAAGGACGGAATCAGCAGCATTCTCTTGGCAGCCCCCGAGTACGACAATAACTTTGATCTTTGGTCGGGCCCAATCTTTGCCATGCTCGAGACTGGGGTTGTGGCGTGTCGGTTGCAAAAACAAGTGGGAGTGGTTTGCTTTCATCCCATGTATGCGACACCCGATGGGTCGTCGTTCCCTGGTTTTGGGCACATGCATTCGGTTCCTCGATTGAAAAAATGGCTGCAAGAGCAGGATCCATCGCTACTTTTGACGGATGAAGAAATTGCGGCGGGGGGTTCCTGGCAAAGACGGACGCCTCATGCGACCATCAATGTCCTAAGGGCGGACCAGTTGGAAGCCGCAGAAGGACGTCGTACCACGGGAGAGCTGTATAGCGAGAATATTCGAAAACTGGTCGGACCGGG